TTCTCTCTGTCCCCCTTCTCTCTATCCCTGTTCTCTCTGTCCCCCTCCTCTTTGTCCCCCCTCTATTTGTCCTCCTCTCCGTCCCCATTCTCCACCGCCCCTCTTCTCTCTGTCCGCCTTCTCTCTGTCCCCGTTCTATCTGTCCCCCTTCTCTCTGTCCCCCTTCTCTCTATCCCCCTCCTCACTGTCCCCCTCCTCTCTGTCCCCATTCTCTCTGTCCCCCTTCTCTCTATCCCCCTCCTCTCTGTCCTCCTCCTCTCTGTCCCCATTCTCTCTGTCCCCCTTCTCTCTATCCCCGTAACCACTGTCCCCCTCCTCTCTGTCCCCCTTCTTTTTGTCCTCCTTGCCGTCCCCATTCTCCACTGCCCCTCTTCTCTCTGTCCGCCTTCTCTTTGTCCCCGTTCTCTCTGTCCCCCTTCTCTTTGTCATCCTTCTCCCTGTCCCCCTTCTCTCTCTCCCCCTTCTCCCTGTCCCCCTTCTCACTGTCCCCATTCTCTCTGTCCCCCTTCTCTCTGTCCCAATTCTCTCTGTCCCGCTTCTCTCTGTCCTCATTCTCTCTGTCCCACTTCTCTCTGTCCCCATTCTCTCTCTCCCCCTTCTCTCTGTCACCCTTCTCTTTGTCCCCCTTCTCTTTGTCACCCTTCTCTCTGTCCCCCTTCTCTCTGTCCCCCTTCTCTTTGTCCCCCTTCTCTCTGTCCCCCTTCTCTTTGTCCCCCTTCTCTTTGTCCCCCTTCTTATTGTCCCCCTTCTCCTTATCCCCCTCACCCTCTCTCCTATTTTCACCACCCACTGCCTCGCTTTCCCTCAACCTCTCCTTATGTGTGGCAACCGTCAGCAAGCTCAGCGCCATCACACCTCCGCCCTCAACCGAGACCAATGCACTGATGTGGATGGAGCCCACACGTTGTCCATCTCCAACGCCACCTGTTGGCTCGTGCACCACATGATGGCACTCAATTCTATGGAACTCTAGACTCCCACTGCAGGTTTGCTTATGTTGTGCCATTCTCAAAACCAGGACCATTGAGGCAAACATGTGTGGTCGACGAGCGCTCATTCGCATGAATCTGGATTTCCAAATTTCTATGTAAAATCATCTGGAATATACATTACATATGTATGTTGTGACTTGAAGGCCACACCCCGAATTACACAACGAAGTCAACGAAAAAATTGTAGGTTCGGAAAACCCCAGAAGGAGGTTCGGTGGGAAAATCGAGAACCAATCGCGTAAAAAACCCACTCAAACCCTTCGACCAGTCACGTGAAAGTGGTGACAGTTTTGGGGCCGACACGGTAATTCTGGATATATCATTTGAGCACCTTGAGGCACACACATGCTAATGAGTATTTGTCATGAGCAGAAACACCAAATTACTTGCTTTAGATGGGGTAGTCTGTCTGCTGCCGAAATTGCAGCAGGTTGGAGGAGTTTTATCTCTAGGCTACGTATGCTCAACTGTGTGAAGGTAATGTTATGTATGGTCGAGCAAATTTCCTACCAATGCAAAAATGTCTCGGACGCCAAATGGACCTGTAGTACAGTATAGAAAAGTATTGCAAATAAAGAGACGAATCATAATGAGAGCCTCGAGTCGGGAGAAATAAGGGGCCAGTCCCGACCATGAAAGTTGTTGAAACAATGTCCAAGAAGCTGTGGTTGAATGCATGTGTGGGGAGGGGTGTGAGGCATGGGCAGCATGAAAATAATGATAGTCAAACGAGCAAAAGAAAATTAATGGATGTGGTATGCATAGAGGACTAGGGGCAGGAAAGCATGGAATCGGATGGAGGAGTAGCAGCCCCTAATACATTGCAAAGGGGATAATGGGGCAGTCTAACAAGGCATGCTAAGTTGACAATGGTGAAGGATTTACGAAAGACACCTGATGGTAAACAATTAATCACTTAATTGCACTTGGCAGCAGCGTCGCAACTACTGTTGACTCACATGACTAGTGGCACTCGCACCTGTCGGTGGATGAGGATGTGCTTGGAGGGGTCCACATCGCGGCTGACATCAAAGGCCGCCAAGGCCCCCATTGGGGTCAGGCGCGGAGCCACCACCATGCCTCTCTACTCGTATGGCGCCGACTCTACGCCAATGTCCTTTCCCAAAAGCATGTCTAGGAGCTGAGAGAAAAAGGTTGGAATGTGAGTAGAATAAATGCTCCATGAGTGACTGGGGTGGATGGTACAGAATGACTAGACAGGGGAATTGAAGCATGAGGGCGTGAGATGGGCAAGCAAGGGAGTAGGATGGGAGCATAGGACAAGACTGGGCGAGGGCACATAGGGACTAAACTGGGAATATAGAAGGTGAAGTGAAAGTTGCACATTCTAATAGTGTTACGGGCATGAGCAGCAATGTTATGGACAAGGATGAGCACAATTACCCTCAAAGACACACACCGGCATCGCCAAAATGTGAATTGACGCAGCCTGTTAGACAAATTGGTGATCTTGATCTATCCCCAGATCCGCAAGTGTTTCCGCAACGTTTACCGAGGATATTTGCTGGCATCCCCTGTAACATGATCGCAAATGAGAAGCGTGAAACGAGATTATAAGAGACATGAGTAAGGGTTGGTGAGAATGTGGTACAGATCTTACATAAGAGATGTCGCACAGCACCGCGCGTCGAAGTAAGGCCGCGAACCGTGCCACCTTGACGCACAGGAGTAACCGGCTCAACAACAGATGGGTGTCGCCCTCCACAAGACAAATCAATAGGATGATGCGTCTGCCTCTTTGGAGCCATCTCCATAATCTCATTGTCGACTCCAAACCCGAACGATCGTTGCCAGTCCTCCATAATCCGATCAACCCAGGACCAATTCATAGGTCCTAGGGTTCGATCCTTGTTGCCTCGTCGCACCCGAGTAACTTGCCGTACACGATTGCGATATGAAGTGACCAGCCTGTCCATCAAGTTATTCCAATGAAGGACAGCAAGTCCCACTCGTGCCTCAAGACTACCTTTCAACCTAATACTCTTAGCGGCGTATTTGATGATCAGGGAGTGGAAAGACGTGTTTATGGAACTGTTGGCTCCGTGAACATAAAGTTTCACCTTGTCTTGCGAACACCGTTTCTTGAACTATGCAAGAACCGCCTTGTGCGATTCCGATCCAGGCTCATAAAGTGCGCATTCTCTGCCCCACTTCTCGGCAACACACCTTGGAGGGATACTCCCGTTCCTTCCACACTCGGAGTGGTCACCTGCCCAATGGTTAGGTGCCATCCCAATTTCCCTCACCACATCATCACGAGTCATAGGGGTGCCCGCTTTCAACAGTGCCGCGCAACGCATCATCACATGGAAGAAATGCGAGGCGAAGCGCTGCACCACCATACTCTCCTCATCGCCTGCATTTGTCTCATCTCCGCCACGTTTCCGTTTTCGCCGCCTAGTCCAACGAGGCAAATTCTCTCCGACGTCACTTCCCTGAATGTCAACCTCGTTTGCAGCTCCATTGTTGTTGTCACCAGCCATCATCTCTGTTATGTCAAAACCAACAATATCAACAATTTTTTATACTTCTAAAAGTCTACGGAAACAGCCGGCGAAATCCAATCTGAATATGGCATGAGAAGTTAGTTTCACAAGGCATCCATACCAGTGGCTTCATCAACGTTGGCCCATGGAGTCGTCCCGCCGATAGATCGTAAGTAACTGCATGCACCCGCATGTGCGTGCACGATGAGAGAACTAGCCCATGACGATGGTCTTGCACCACGCATAGGATGGAAATCGTATTGCCATAACTCCTCCACATCCGCTCACTGTACATCTGTCAGAATATATCTGTAACTGCCTGTAGCTGTAGTTAGTGTAGTTATTATAAACTTTGTTTGGTGGTGCACCTTCTTTATTTCTTTGCTATATGTTGTTGCCAACCTATAGTGAAGCCCTCTTTCTCCTCTCTCAACCCTCTCGATACTCTCCTCAACCCTAAACTCGACCTCTAAGAACCTAACTAAACTATGGCTCCCAAGCCAACCTATGCTTAGGTATCTCAACATGGTATTAGAGCCTATTAAGTCCTGGCCTGTGGGCCAGCCTCTCGCTTCCGCTGCTGGTTTCCGGTCGCGCGCCTCGGGCGCGTGGCGATTTTCGTTCTGTCCCGCGCCCGGGTGGCGCGTGACGTTTTTTCTGCCCGTCGCGTCGCCCCACAACCCGCGCGCGGCCCTTACTGCCCTATCACGACGCCCTGGGGAGCCGCTCGCGGCCCCCCGCTGCCCCGTCGCCGTGCCCTGGGGAGCCGCGCGCGGCCCCCGCTATCTCGTCCCGGCGCCCTGGGGAGCAGCACGCGGCCCTCGCTGCTCGTCGCGACGCACCTGCGGGACCCGGGTGTCGCCACTCCTGCTCGTCGCGACGCCCCTGCAGGACCCGCATGGCGTCGCCTTGCTCGTTGTGACGCCACTGCGGGACCCGCGGGGCGTCGCCACTGCTCGTCGCGGCGCCCCCTGGACGCCGCTCCTGCTCGTCGCGGCGCCCCTGGGGCGTCGCCCCTACTTGTAGCGGCACCCCTTGGGCGCCGTTCCTACTCGTCGCGGCGCCCTCCCCCCTGGCCACCGCCTCTGCCTCACCTGCGCCCGCGCCAGCGTTGCAGCCGCGCGCGGGCCTACCTTGCACCAGCGCCGCCCCTCGGACCTCAGCAGCTGCTCCTGGACCTCAGCAGCCGCCCCTGGACCCCGCGAGCCGCCCCAGCAGCAGCCCTCAAAGCCGCCCCTGGAGCAGCCGCCCCTGGTGCAGCCGCCTCTGGACCTCAGCAGCCGCCCCTGGACCCCGCGAGCCGCCCCAGCAGCAGCCCACGGCGCCGACCCTACAGCTGTATGCGCCGCCGCTCCTGGACTCGGTATGCCCGTGCCTGTGGTGCCTGTTGCTGCTTGTGCCTGTGCTGCCCGTTGCCGCCTGTTGCTGCCCATGCCTGTGCTGCCCGTTGCTGCCTGTTGCTGCCTGTGCCTGTGCTGCCCGTTGCCGCCCGTTGCTGCCTATGCCTGTGCTGCCCGTTGCTACCTGTTGCTGCCCGTGCCTGTGCTGCCGTTGCCGCCCGTTGCTGCCCGTGCCTATGCTGCCTATTGCTGCCCGTGCCTGTGCTGCCTGTTGCCGCCCGTTGCTGCCTGTGCCTGTGCTGCCCGTTGCCGCCCGTTGCTGCCTGTGCCTGTGCTGTCCGTTGCCGCCTGTTGCTGCCCGTGCCTGTGGTGCCCGTTGCCGCCCATTGCTGCCCGTGCCTGTGCTGCCCGTTGCCGCCCGTTGCTGCCCGTGCCTGTGCTGCCCGTTGCCGCCCGTTGCTGCCCGTGCCTGTGCTGCCTGTTGCCGCCCGTTGCTGCCCGTGCCTGTGCTGCCTGTTTCTGCCCGTGCCTGTGCTGCCTGTTGCCGCCCGTTGCTTCCTGTGCCTGTGCTGCCTGTTGCCGCCCGTTGCTGCCCGTGCCTGTGCTGCCTGTTGCTGCCTGTTGCTGCCCGTGCCTGTGCTGCCCGTTGCCGCCCGTTGCTGCCCGTGCCTGTGCTGCCTGTTGCTGCCTGTGCCTGTGCTGCCTGTTGCCGCCTGTTGCTGCCCGTGCCTGTGCTGCCCGTTGCCGCCCGTTGCTGCCCGTGCCTGTGCTGCCCGTTGCCACCCGTTACTGCCCGTGCCTGTGCTGCCCGTTGCTGCCCATTGCTGCCCGTGCCTGTGCTGCCCGTCGTGCGCCCTGCTGCTGCTCGCGCCCTTGTGCGCTCTGGTCTGCCTGCGCCCTCGTGCGCCCTGCTGCTGCCCGCGCCCTTGTGCGCTCTGCTCTGCTCCGCGCTGTTGCCCTGCCTGCACGGCTGCCCTGCCCTGCTCCGCGCTGTTGCCCTGCACGCGCGGCTGCCCTGCCCGTGCCTATGTTGCCCCTGCTCTTCCCCCACCCCCCCCCCCCCCCCTTTCTTTGTCTATGGGGGTGGAAGGAATGGAGGCTATGGGGGTGGCGGGTATGGGGGTGATGGGTGTGTGTGATCCCCTTCCCCTCCTCCTCCTTTCTCTCCCACTGCTGCAACTGCCGCTGGGGGGGGGTGGGTGTGAGGGTGTGGGGGAGCTGGGGGAGAGGTGCTAGGGTTGTCAAGGAGTGTGGAAGGGGGAGTTGGAGGACTGAGGAAGGTTCCAGGAAGCAGCCTGCCTTAGAGCCAGCAGCCTCCCTCATATAGTCCCTCCTCCTCACTTGCCCTCTCCTTCTGCTGCGCTTGGTGTACCCCTTCAGGGGGTGTCTCTGCATTAGCTTCTGCTGCAGGCAGTTATGGGGGAGTCAGAATATATCTGTAACTGCCTGTAGCTGTAGTTAGTGTAGCTATTATAAACTTTGTTTGGTGGTGCACCTTCTTTGTTTCTTTGCTATATGTTGTTGCCAACCTATAGTGAAGCCCTCTTTCTCCTCTCTCAACCCTCTCGATACTCTCCTCAACCCTAAACTCGACCTCTAAGAACCTAACTAAACATGGCTCCCAAGCCAACCTATGCTTAGGTATCTCAACAACATCAACTTGGGTTGCGCCCGCATCTGCTTCGTCAACCGCGTCGTCTCGAACGATGGGCTACATCTCTCCAACTATATCAGGATGCACCTCGCCATATCCCGTTGGGGCATCTACCGCCACCCATTCTCCTCCCAGCCGCCGGAATTTTCTCAGCTCAGGAAACTTCCACTTTGCTTCATCAGGGGACATCTTCATATATGCAATGGTACCCATGGCATCACATACTGATTTCACAAGATCTGCTTTGAGTGTCCCCCTTGCCTCTTTCACCAATCCTTTGGTCCTCAACCACTTCCTTAGATCTTCCACCTTAGCCAACCGCAGCTCCTTGATGCAGCTTGCCTTGTCCACCTCCACAGCCAACCGCACCTGATCCTGAAGCTCTTTGCAGAAAAGACTGTACAACGTCCGCTTCACATGCCAGCAATCCACCTGATGGTCCAGCTCTCGCTCTACCGCAGCGCCTCTAAATGTCATCCCTTGATCCAAAATGATGCCCTTCACATCGAACCCCAACTGCCTCAACTCATCAATCCCTCTGTCAAATGCAATCCGCTCCAATCGCACAGACGATCTATCATCCACCCCTTTACGTGTTGTTACATAATAGAAGATCTTCCGTGTCAGTATGTTCACGAACGACACTGTGCACCACTCACCCTCTTGGACATGTGACCATCGGCTATCCACCGTCACGTATTCTGCTAGCATGTCACGTTTGCTCATCTCCTCCCGCACCAAAGCCATCGACTTATCCGCCTCCCTAAGGATTTTTTTCCATAGCCCATTATCGCCCCCAAGGTATCTATAAGAAGTTCCTTTTCCAGAACACGGAATGCCAAAATTGCGGCTAAACTCCCACATCTGTTGATACCCCATCCCAACGAGCACGAATGCTCCCACATATTTTAAACGTAGCATGGGCACTCGTGCACCAACCCCAACTCTCTTCTTGTCAAGAGTTCGATTGGTGCACGACCAGAATTCCACACCGTGGGAACACTTATCACATCTCCAAAACATGCCGACTGATGCCCATGAAAACTTCTACGACCTGAGAGACATAGCACCTCAGCATGTATCTTGATGCGAGCACACTAAGAGACACCCCTTGAAGAACCCCATAATGGTACACAGTTCGACTAGACATACCTGTTGCTGTGAAATATCATCGACACTTCGTGATGTGGGCCAACGCCTGGGGACTATCCCGTGCGCGCTCGCGCGGGGATGGCTGCAAACAGGCCTTATAGGGGGTGTAGAAGAAGGAAACAAACGATGAACGCATCGTTGATGTGAAAGTGTAAAGAGGATAAGAGGGACTAGATGAATTTATAAGGTAGGAACATGAATTCAAATGTGCCAGTATCTCAACTTCTCACCTGTCCTCGAGCATGCCATTCATCGTGCTCGATGGTGCTATAGGCAATGGCATGCTGCCGCTTGCATCACCACCACCACCAATGGGCAAAGGAGGCACGGAAGGATTCGAGGGTATGCCTTCGACATCACCACCCCCCCCCCCCCCCCCCCCCGACGGGCAAAGTAGGCAGGGAAGGATTTGAGGGTATGCCTTCGCCATCACCACCACCCCCGACAGGCAAAGGAGGCAAGGAACTATTTGATGAAGCCGTGGCATTCTCCACCCCACCATGGTCTGTACTGCCGATACGAGCAGCGTGCCGTGCATTACCTGCACTTCAGCAGTAGTGGTATGATAAGTGGATGTGGGCGACTCGACATGGCATGATGAGTGTTCGGCTATGTACTATGTGTCAAATGCATTACCTCCTTGGCGTTGTAGAGCAAATGCCCTCCCGCGTCTTGTTCCTCCCCAAGGCAAAGCCCTCCACACGCCTTGGTCTCCCGCGATCATCTTGAAAGCTCCTATTGAACCGTGATCATTCAGACAGTTCCCGCGATCATCTAGACAGCGGTACACGGTTCATCACGGTACCATGATGTAGCCTCAGGTGCTGCCTCCGTTAAGAAATTAATAACGTCGTCGGGCGTAGCCCCCCTCTCGCCAGCAAACAAGGCGGATAACCTCACGCGTAACACACACAGTAACGGTCCGCATATGCTGCGTTATGTTTACACTTCCTTTTGTTGCACCTTTGCATGCTTGCGTTGCCACATGTAACCCTGCACTTATTGCTTGAGCCATGAGTTGCAAACTACACCACCATGATGGTAGGCAATGTCGATATGGGGAACAAAGGGATTCAGAGCAAAAGTGAGCACATGGTGTGACATGCAGCAATAGCCACATGCTGCTTGAGCCGTGCGTAGCAAACTACACCACCATGATGCTAGGCAATGTCGATTTGGGCAACTGAGGGACACATAGCAGAAGTGAGCACATGCTGTGACATGTAGCAATGGCCACATGCTTTGTAAGGAGCAGCAAGATGCACATGATGTGACATCAATGGCAGAGGCCACGAGCTGTGACATAAGCAGCAATGAGCACATGGTGACGACATGAGCAGCAGTGAGCAAATACTGTGACATGAGCAGCAGCGATATGATGCTGTGACATGAGCTGGAGCGAGCACATGCTGTGACATATAGAGCAGCAATGAGATTTTGTGGCATAAACAGAAGTGACCTTATGCTGTGACTTGGCAGCATTGGAGCCTCATGCTATGACGCCAGCAGTAGACACTACATACTGTGACACGAGTAGACGTGATATGATGCTGTGACATGATGAGGAGCGAGCATATGCTGTGACATAGAAAAGTAGTGATATGATGCTGTGACATGAGCAAGAGTGAGCACATGCTGTGACAAAAAAAAGCAGTGATATGATGCTGTGACATGAGCAACAGTGATATGATGCCGTGACATGAGCAGGAGTGAGCACATGCGCAGGTATAAAGAGCAGTGAGGAGATGCTATGACATACACAGCTGTGACCTTATGTTGTGAATTGGCAGCAGTAGCGCCTCATGTTGTGACACCAGCAGAAGACACTACATGCTTTGACGTGAGCATCATTGATATAATGCCATGACATGAGCAGGAGTGAGCACATGCGCAGGCATAAAGAACAGTGATGAGATATTGTGACATACACAGCAGTGACCTTATGCTATAAATTGGCAGCAGTAACGCCTCATGTTGTGACGCCAGTAGTAGACACTGCATGCTTTGACGTGAGCAGCAGTAACATGATGTCGTGACATGAGCAGGAGTGAGCATATGCGTAGGAATAAAGAGCAGTGATGAGATGCTGTGACATACACAGTAGTGACCTTATGCTGTGAATTGGTAGCAGTAGCGCCTCATGTTGTGACGCCAGCAGTAGACACTACATGCTTTGATGTGAGTAGCAGTGACATGATGCCGTGACATGAGGAGCAGTGTGCACATGCGCAGGCATAAAGAGCAATGACAAGATGCTATGATATAAACAGGAAATAAACCTTATGCTATGACTTGGCAGCAGTAGCGCCTCATGTTGGGACGCCAACATTAGACACCACATGCTTTGACACGAGCAGCAGTGATAGGTTGTTGTAACATGAGGAGGAGAGTGTCATAATTTCAGTGTCTAGATGCTGTGACATAAACCACTCCATAGACCTCATGCTATGACTTGGCAGCAGTGTCGGCTCATGTTGTGATGCTAGTAGTAGACACTACATGTTTTGACATGATAAGGTTCCTTACGCTGTGACATAATTAGCAGTGACACCACACGCTATGACGTGAGCATCAGTGACCATATGTTGTGACATAAGCAGCAGTGACACCACACGCCATGACGTGAGCAGCAGCGACCAGAGGATGTGACATAGGATGCAGTAACACCGCACGCATTTCGTGTTCGCAGTGACCTTATATTGTGACATATGCAGTAGTGACTCCGCAGTCTATGATGTGAGCAGAAGTGATTATATGATGTGACATAATCAGTGGTGACATTGCATGCTATGACATGTTTCGCAGTGACCCTATGCTATGACATAAGCAGCACTGATGGGGCATGCCGTCGAAATTGGCAGTAGTGCTTATATGGTGTGGCATATGCGGCAGTGACATCCCACGCTATGACGTGAGCAGTTGTGACCATATGACGTGACATAAGCAGCAGTGACACCATACGCATGGACAGCAGGACGCCGCATGCTGTGACCTAGACAACAGTCACGCCGCATGTTGTGGCATCAGGGGCAGCGGTGGCGCCCATGTGTTGCGGGACAAACCTCAGGATGAAACCGTGGCTGTAACATTTGCTGCTGTGGCGACAACACATTCGACTATAGCAGTCCAACGACAGCTGTGTATATCGCCAATGCCGACAGCCACTAAAATGCAGCTTGACTGGTACAACACTACAACCGTTGCTCAAGATTGCAGTTATCATCTCCGAGATGTAGTACGAGTCTTACAGATGAGTGCCGCCCTCGAAATGTAGTACCGGTCGTCGCCCTCTTATTCCGTCCGTCTCCCTATCGGGCTCCGTTTCCCACCTTTTGCACGTGCACCACCTTGGTCACGATTCTCTCGAAGCTTAGGTCCAGCCGTCGCAATGGGTCCCGCCCTTGCTCTGATTGCCTCTAGATGTTACTCCCGCAGGTACTACAGGTTCTACCAGCCTTTCCATTTGTCAACGTATAGTTTGGACCCACCCGAAACCCACTTTGGTCCTCTCGAGAGTACCCCTACAATGCTCTTTTGTCGCTGAACTCAACTACTTTACTCCGCAAATCGTGCTCAGCAGTTCAGGCCCTGAACGCTGCGTTTTGTTGTTGACATAACCTGCGACGCGGCGTCCTAGTACCAGTGCGTCGCGACAAACTTTCGTGCCTACCTGCCTACTACCAAGCATGGTTGGTAGTCGTGCTCTGCCATGATAATTCAGTGTTTCATAGAGCACGTTTGGCGAGGCTATAGGTGTTCTAGCAACCAATAGAGGTTGGTGTCAAATGTCCACCAACCACCCGTTTTGGGTGGTTCAAATCAACACTTCACCGGACTGTAACCCGTCTATTTTTGTTTTACCCCCTTGCTGTTTGGATGCGATGCGCTTGTTCTTTTTCAAGGGTGCTGATTGGCTGTGCTTCAGCACCATTCAGGGCGACACCATAGTCGCCTTAGATTTTTCTAATAATCGCCCACATCCCTAGGGGACGCACCCCAATCTGAGTGTGGCGAGGTGATGTTTGATGTCGCTGCTCTCAAAGTGGTTCGCCAGGGTTGGTTCAATGAAAAATGTATTTTCTCCCTCTCGCTAACCCTGTTTCATATTCAGGAAATTTGGAGTTTTTGCCAAGTGGTACCCGGGCTTTAACTTGAGGAGAAATGTGGGGGTCAGATGTTTGCATGTTCAACAAGGGTCCAATTTCGGAAACTGGAGATGTT